TGGAAGAAAGTGGAAGACAAAATTTTCTGTGACTTTCTCCATGGTAGCACCTGCCTTGTGGAATGATCCTGCATGGAGATCAGGTGGGCACTGACTCCTGAGTGCTTCCACCAGCAATTAAAAACATACCTCTTAACCTGAGGTTTTCCCGACTAGTTTCTAATTGTGGTTCCTGACCTTTGTAGCAACCCCTGGTCCCGGGGGGGGGGTTACCGTGTGGTGTGGTCTGAGTCCGGTCCTGGGTCAAGGGCAAAGCGGGGTCCAAGGCAAGGAGCCGGGCGTGGTCAGGAACTCCAGAAGAGCAGGCAGGAACAGGTTTCCAACGATGTTGCTCCCGCAACCTGGGTCTGGGCTGACTGGCCTTTATCTCCTCTGAGGCCTAGGGCGGTCCTGGCCCACAGGTGACTCACCTCCCCTGGCCTTAAGGCGAGCACTCCTCCTGCAGGAACTCAGTTCCCTCTGCCTCTCTGCCCTGAGCCTCTGCAGCTCCGGAGAGGCAGGAGGGTAACTGGACCCAGAGGCAGCCTCACCTTCCCCTGACAGGGCTGGGAGAGGAGCACCTGCAGGCAATGGGTCCTCGATCACCTCCGGAGCCAGAGTGGATTCATCTGGTGTCTGCTCCTGAGGATCCAGCACAGGTGCAGGCCCTTCAGATTCAAGCCCCTGCCCCGGCTCAGCCGGCCCTGGAGGCGGGGACTCCTGTGCAGGCTGGGATTCCTCCGGTTCAGCCTCTGAATCAGATTCCCAGGCCATCACACCATGTTTTACTGCTATGTGATTGTCTCCAATGTTAGTCATCCTCAGAGCAGACCCATTGATAGCTAAGGGACACAACTATCTTAGGACCCTTAATTTCAGGGAGTCTGCTCTGAGTAAAACTTTGGTGTTTTTTTTATTTTGTTAAAGCTGTTTGTTTTATTGTTTCATTTCTTTGAAAGGAAAGACCCTATATAAATGAGTTTAATAAATTGGAAACTTGAATCCCATTACATACTGAATTCATAGAGTTCCTGAAATTTTATTTCTTTGAGAATCCAAAGAATGTCTAGGAACCCACTTTTCTTCCTTCAAGACTTGGCAGGTCAGTATATGTTCCTGCCTCGTGGTCAGTTTTCACTATGCAGGAGTTATGCACAGACACTTGTTAAAAGGAAATTACATGTGTAGCTGGAATATTTGTCATTCAGCCAGAATCTAGACCTGCCCCACCAGGCTTCCCTTACTAATAATCCTCCATTCGGTATTTGCACATTATTCTCTGTGCATTGATGTGTTTTTGACGTGGTGTTCTGTCTGGAATGAATGACTTCCCTAAGTAGCTGAGGTAGAAGAAATGTCAACTTAGATATCCGAGTACAATGTTTCTGATCAAGATTCAGCCTCGTGTAGGTCAGGAGGAAAGTCATTCAAGACGATTCACAGACAACAATAAAAAGGTTGAATTAAATCAATAATTTGCTATGAATTATTTACTAAGTTCCAGTTGCTACAAAATGATAATCGGGATACCTCAAGTATTGCCCAGTTTGGCAATAAGATTCTATTGGCATGGGGGATTTGCAATCAATTTCAGGCCACCAATTTAAAAGAAGCCTTATGAAACCTACTGATAAAGCGTGTTCTCCTTCATGGAGAGCACGTGTTGAGGTGGGGTCTGCTGAGCCACCCCTCTGTTACCAGGCAGGGTCTCTAAAGATGGCCTGGGGCAGTGATTGGTTCACTGGGTGGCTGGGGTAAAAGTTATGTTGCAATTTTGGTGGGAGGGGTAAAATGTTTAAATACTCTGCATTCAGCCTGGAGCTTTCTCTTTGCTGCGTGCAACGGATCACCTGGAGCACTTGGACCGTCTGGAGGATAGTGGAGCGATCTTCTCATTGTCTGGTTACATTTCTTTATTTTCAGAGGGAACCTTCTTTTCTGAAGCCAAGATGACATGGACTAGAATTGACCAAATATGGATAACTAGAGGAATGGCACCAAAGATAAAGAAAGTAGAAATCTGCCCAAAAACCTGCTCCGACCATAACGCTGTAAGGATGGAGATGAAACAAATATCAACCAGATCCTTCAGATGGAGGATGAATGACACCTTATTCAGAGATGAAGAAGTATATAAAAAGGCCCAAAAAACTCTGAGAGACTATTTTGAAATAAATATGAACACCAATGTAGAAAAAAGAGTAATCTGGGACGCAAGCAAAGCGGTCATGAGAGGGTTTCTGATACAACAGAATGCAATAAAGAAGAGAAGTCAGAATGAGAAGAAAGATAAAATTTTGGAGAAAATAAAAGAAAGTGAGAAGAAATTGAGAGCAAAACCAAAGTCGCAGGAGATTCTGAGAGAAATAAAATTATATCAAGCACAATACATGAAAATGATGAATCAGGAAATAGAATGGAAAATTAAACAAATGAGACAAAAACATTTGAATCAGCTAATAAATGTGGGAAATTGTTGGCCTGGCAAATGAAAAAAAGACAAAAATTAAATACTATTACAAACTTAGAAGTGGAAGGAAAGAATATACACAACCCAATTGAGATTAGAAACTGTTTCCAGAGGTACTTTAAACAATTATATACGCAAGGGCCACAGAAAGAAATGGACATAGACCGATTCTTGAAGACAAATGGATTACAAAAAATCTCTCAAGAAAGTAAATTAATGCTGAACTATAAAATATCTGAACAGGAAGTGGAAGGTGCCATTCAAAACATGCAATTGGGCAAATCTCCAGGACCGGATGGGCTGACTTCTAGATATTATAGATCCTTGAAAGAGTGGCTATTGCAACCTTTGAAGGAAGTCTGCAATGAAATTTTGGAAGGAAAAGGGCACCAGAGTCGTGGAAAGAGGCGTACATTACACTTATACCTAAAACAGAGACTGAAAAGACTCAGCTTAAGAACTACCGCCCTATATCGTTACTTAATGTGGATTACAAAATTTTTGCAGACATTTTGGCCAAGAGATTGAAAAAAGTATTGATGGAAGAGATTCATAAAGACCAAGCGGGCTTTCTCCCGGGAAGACACTTGTCTGATAATTTGAGGAATATAATTGATATTTTGGAAAAACTAGAAGTGAATATAAACACTAAAGCAGTTCTGATATTTGTGGATGCGGAGAAAGCTTTTGACAATATCTCTTGGAGCTTCATGAAGAAGAATCTACAGGGGATGGGGGTAGGCCAAGGTTTTGAAAATGGTATAGGTGCAATATACTCTGAACAAAAGGCTAAATTAATTGTAAATAATGTGGTGACGGAAGAATTTAAGATAGAAAAAGGGACACGACAGGGGTGCCCAATCTCCCCACTGCTTGACTATCGGTCCTGGAGGTTCTGCTGAATATGATTAGAAGGGACCGGTTGGTTAAAGGTATACAGGTCGGAGCCAAACAGTACAAACTGAGAGCATTTGCAGATGACTTAGTATTGACGTTACAGGAGCCAGAATCTAGTACTAAAAGGGTTTTAGAATTAATTCAAGAATTTGGTCAAGTGGCAGGATTTAAATTGAACAAGCTAAAAACTAAGGTTTTAGAGAAAAATTTAACACCGATTGAAAGAGAGAGGTTTCAGAATGAGACAGGCTTGACTGTGGTTAAGAAAGTGAAATACCTGGGGATTAATATGACAGCCAAAAATGGGAACTTATTTAAAGATAATTATGAAAAATGTTGGACGGAAGTGAAACAGATTTAGAAATCTGGTCAAATTTGAAGCTTTCACTGTTGGGTCGTATTGCTGTGATAAAAATGAATGTATTGCCTAGAATGTTGTTTTTGTTTCAGACATTGCAAATTGTGGACAAGATGGACTGTTTCAAGAAGTGGCAGAGAGATATTTCTAGATTTGTCTGGCAGGGCAAGAAGCCCAGAATAAAATTTAAGATATTAACTGATGCAAAGGAAAGAGGTGGATTTGCCCTGCCAGACTTTAAACTTTATTATGAATCAGCAGCTTTTTGCTGGTTGAAAGAATGGCTACTTCTTGAAAATACAGACATTTTGGATTTAGAAGGTTTTAACAACGTATTTGGATGGCATGCATATTTATGGTATGATAAGGTCAAAGCACATAAAGCATTTAAAAATCATATTGTCAGGAAAGCACTGTTTAATGTTTGGATAAGATACAAGGATTTATTGGAAAATAAAACCCCAAGGTGGTTGTCACCGATGGAAGCGAAAGCTCTGAAAAGGCTCAATATGGAGGCCAAATGGCCGAAATATTGGGAAATTTTGGAACAAGAAGGAGACAAATTGAAATTGCAGAGTTTCGAGAAACTAAAAAACAAAGTGCGAGATTGGCTTCATTATTATCAGATAATGGAGGCATATAATTTGGATAAGAAAATTGGCTTCCAGGTGGAAAAATCAAAACTAGAAACAGAACTGTTAGAACCCAAAACTAAGAATTTGTCAAGAATGTATAACTTGCTGTTGAAATGGAATACTCAGGATGAAACGGTGAAATCTGCTATGATTAAATGGGCACAAGATGTTGGACATAATATTATGTTTGCTGACTGGGAACAGTTATGGACCACAGGTATGAAGTTTACGGCATGTAATGCCCTAAGAGAGAATATTATGAAAATGATATACAGGTGGTACATGACCCCAGTCAAGCTTGCAAAAATCTATCACTTGCCCGATAATAAATGCTGGAAATGTAAAGAAACTGAAGGTACATTCTTTCACCTTTGGTGGACGTGCCCAAGGATTAAGGCTTTCTGGGAAATGATATATAATGAACTGAAAAAGGTATTTAAATATACCTTCCCGAAGAAACCAGAGGCCTTTCTTCTGGGCATTGTCGGCCAATTGGTGCCAAAGAAGGACAGAACTTTCTTCATGTATGCCACAACAGCAGCAAGAATACTTATTGCAAAGTATTAGAAGACACAAGATCTACCCACTTTGGAAGAATGGCAGATGAAGGTGATGGACTATATGGAATTGGCAGAAATGACTGGCAGAATCCGAGACCGGGGGAAGAGTCGGTGGAAGAAGATTGGAAGAAATTTAAAGACTATTTACAGAAATATTGTAAAATTAATGAATGATAGAATGATGTTGGATAGTAATTAAGCGGTTTCTAGCTGTAATGCTTTAAGAGAATATGAAAAAAGGGTTATAAATGGGTTAAAATCTAATGGTAAGGATTTGCTGAACCAATAAATTGAAGTGGAATACAAAAAAGGGAGGTACGAGGAGGTCCGGGAAACAAGCTAAAGGAAAATAAGTAACTGAAAATATGTGTGTTTTTAACTGTTTTTATTTTGTATTTTTCTCTTTTCTTTTTCATTTCTATTGTAATATTTTTAAAAAAACCTTTAAAAATACATTTCTTTATTTTCCCCTTCTTTTTAATCTTCTCTAGTCCCTTAATTAATTTAATTTCCCTTTTTTTCTGTTTGATTTCCCACCCCACCCCTTACCCTGCCCTGTGGGAAGATCCTCCCTGCACCTGTGAGCGCTGCCTGTGCATCATCCTCCTTGGCTTGCCTTTCCCAATAGGGAGAGAGCCCCCATTAGGGGCTTTCTTTTGCAGAAAGGTTTTCCCCATTTTCGCCTGTTTAATTGTGGGGCTAGTCAGGGCTGCTCCCAGCTTACCTGGAATCACTTTCATTTATAGTATCCCCATAGGTTGGCTTTATTTTGGGTGCGTGCAGTGCTGTTGGCCGAGTTTTAATCTAGCCTTGGGCGGGAGCACTGTTTTGAGTTCCTTTAATATTGCAATGAGACAAAAAAGGCAGAGAGCAGACGCAGGGAGGCCATCACGGCCTGCACGGCCTGCACATATCATTCAAGCCTAAGCCTGCTACAGTTAGCAGTACAGTGAATTGTTAAGTTTCTGTGACATGTGACTCATTCTCTCTATAAGAATGTATCTGTTGTTTGCAGGCTCACTTGTTGCTAATGTATATCTGAGGCAGACAGAGTGGAGCCAGAGGCTCTCTGTGCCTCCAATGAGCACTCTTTGTATGCTCTTTAACTATGCTGTTTCTGAACAAGTTTATTTTCTTCAAGTTTGTTTTCCCTGATAGTGGCGACTGCCATTTTAGAGACAAGCCATTGTGGCTTAGTGGCTAGAGTACAGGACTAGGACCTGGGAGACAGGGTTCATATCCCTCACTTAGCCATTGTTATAACAAGGCAAAACAAGCTGCTCCTTTTGGACTATTTTGTTGCTGGGTAGTCTGGCCCATTTGTGATATTGCTCCCAAAAAGAACTTTGGGTTTCTTGAGGAGGTGCTTCCCTCTAAAGGGCAAGCAGGGGTACCTGGACAGGAAGGGGGGCTGCCTCGAGTTTGTTATCTCATTGGAAACATTTATGTCTGGCCTAGCAGGTGATCCTAGGGCTTGGCCCGCTTGGCCCTAGAATTTGATGGCCTCTGGCAGCGTTTCTGGCCTGAATAGCGTCCCCATGTGGTGCACAAAGCATTGGTTTCACCTGTTCCTCACATTGTTTAGGTTTTTTCTTTTTGCAGACTATGACAGGGCCTTTGCAGATGCCTCCAGAGCTTGCCTCTCCTGCAGAGGATGACTTGTTGATGCCCCAGGTGCCTTCTTCGGGAAGGAAGCGTCTTCAGAGGCAGGAAAAAGCGGAGCAGGGATGATGCTTACACCTCCTTGCAGGTAAATCATCACTGGGCTCTGATGATGATTCAGACATCACCTTGGACCTCTCCAGGGGTCAGGGTGAGGCTGTTCCAGGTCTTTAGGGATCATCCTGGATAGCTCAGCTGGTCAGCGTATGGTGCCGGTAATGCCTAGGTTGCAGGATTGGTCCCTGTATGGGACAGCTGCATGCTCCCTCATCACTTTACCCGGACACTGAGGTCCAGCGCCGAGGGCCTTTCTGGTGGTTCCCTCACTGTGAGAAGCCAAGTTACAGGGAACCAGGTGGAGGGCCTTCTCGGAAGTGGCACCTGCCCTGTGGTACACCCTCCCACCAGATGTCTACTACCAGACTTTTAGAAGACATCTAAGGCAGCCCTGTTTAGGGAAGCTTTTAATGTTTGATGCATTACTGTATTTTAATATTTTGTTGGAAGCTGCCCAGAGTGGCTGGGGAAGCCCAGCCAGATGGGTGGGGTACAAATAGATTATGATGATGATGATGATGATGATGATGATGGTATTGTGGGAGAGTGGACTAGATGATCCTAGGAGTCCCTTCCAACCCCACTATTCTATAAGTGGTAATTCACTATGATGGGAATGTTAGACGCAGGGCTGCCATCATCCCCTTAGCTCGCTAGGATCGCAGGGACGGGGACATGTGGACCACTTGCGCAGCTCCACATTTCAAATGGAAATTCCCTGAGCAGTAGAACCTGAAGCTGGTATGCAGGAAGCTGGCCCGGTGGCAGCTTTGTTGGGACTTCAATCAAAACAGTAATAATCAAAACAGTAATAATAAAAAAAATGTAATAAGAAATACATAATAAAAAACCGGTTCTCAAAAGGAAGACAACTTTCACCTGGGAGCCTTCCTCTCCTCTTCCCATCCCACCCAGGCTCATCTTCACTTTCTTGCCTCTCTCTGCTTTCCATCTTGTATCTGCCACTTTCATGTGAGTACAGTCCTTGATCCCAAATAGTATTCCAGAAGGGGAGGCATCTCAGGAATAATTCCCTGTATTGTCTCCCCCTGAAAGTGACCCCAAAGTAATGGGCATTGGCTGGAGGGTGGGCTGCCTACCCAGCTTCTCTCATCCTGAAATTCACCCTCAGGGTGTTTCAAGTCCAGTTTGCTGGTTTCTATGTAGAAACACTGTCTCTTGCATGAGATTACTGTATTCCGTTTGTTTCCTTAATAACCTGGTTCTCAGCACACCTGTCATTGCTGCTAAGGTGCTGCTGCTCAATGTCTCTATCAAAGACCATTGGTATCTCTAGGAGCACCTCAAAGGTGCTGCTGCTGATGAAAAGAGATCCCAGAAGTAATAATAATAATAATAATAATAATAATAATTTTTATTTATATCCTGCCCTCCCCAGACATAACCGGGCTCAGGGCGGCTAACATCAAAATATAGATACATTAAAAAATAAAATTCAGCAGTCGACTGAAATACAGCTTAAAATTGGATTAAAATCAAATAAGATCAGAAGGCAACCGTCAAATTATGACTATAGGGGTTGGGAACCTTAGGTACTCACCAGGCTCAGCTATTTATATGAGCCGATGAGACAAATTAGAGAGGCCTCTTATCTATAGGGTCTTGTAGGAGGAGAGGGGGTCAGACTGCGCCCCCACCAAAGGCCTGGCATACCAGGAGAGGTGATCCCATAGGTCCTATAATAAGTAAAGCTGTTCTTTGTCTTGCTTGTGGAAGGGGAATCTGCTCTTGATGGTTTAGGGTCAGCAGGGATTGCTCAGCTGACAACTGACCCACTAGCTGAAAGAACTGGCTCTTGTCCTTCAGTTTGCACCTCTGAGTGGTGGCTCCCAGCTAAATACCTGAGCAGTGGGAGGAAATCATACCCTCAGGATACAGGCCAAGGTCTCGCAGGTGTTTCCATTCCCTTCTGCTCCAGTCCTTCCCTCCAGAGGCAGCCTTCTGGGCAGTGGCTCCCAGCTAAATACAAACACTTAGCATTTATTTATATAGCGCTCTTTAATTGTTCAAGCTGTGTTAGATACATAAATCCTATAACATAGGTTGGGATTATTATCCTCATATTCTAGAAGGGAATGAAAGTAAGAGATAGTGGCTTAGCTAAAGCCTTATTCACATTTTACTCGTGTAACGTTGCTGCATTGATGGAGGCGTGGCAAAGGCAGAATTAGGGGCATGCGACAGGCTTGCCCACACTGGGCACTGATCCAAGAGGGTGCTGCAGGGGGTGCTGCAACAATGACTTAGAATGGAAGGCAAAAAGTGAGGGGTGCTGGATTTTGGTATTGCACGGGATGCCGCTGAAATTTGAAAGCCCAAAGTCCACCACTGGGAGTGGGGCTATGTTCTTAGTTTCAACATCATTAATCCTTTCTGCAGCAACTAACTATGTGTTGTGCATGGTAGTGAGTATCTGCACCTTGCATCTGCACAGATGTGGAAGCTCAAGGTGATCAGAACACCTCTGCAACCAGATGTCCCTTTTTGTTAGCAGCTTCTTATGCACTTGAATTCACTGCAGCCAACCACACACACCACAAGTTGCTGCAGAAAGAATTGTCTGGTGTGGGTGAAGCTAAAAGTATTAGCTGCTCCTCCACAAACATGGCAAGACAAGAGACCTGCTTTTGTTTCTTTTGCTACAAAAATAGTCTTGTTATTGTACCATTTAGACTGTACAGAAATAAAAATTAATAAAAGATAACATATTACATAAACGAATGTTCAAATGACTAGGGAATTCATAGCAGATATTTGAACCCGAGATTTTCTGGTTCACAGCTCAGTGCTGCAGCCACTGGTTGTTGGTTGGCATCCATCTGTCTCAGGAGACAGTGGAAGAGTGCACCTTTGGGAGTGAAGTCAAACCACTGGAGAGTTACAGCAGCTGCTGTGGCTGTAGAGACCAATGTGGGAGACATGCTTTGATGCAACTGGGGCAGATGATGTTGTCTGGTGGCGCTGATGCAGGTGTACCATGGCGTTGCTTCCCTCTGTGCTCCTGGTAACTCCTTGTAATGCACACTCTTTTAACATAGCAGCTAAGAGATCAGGCTGTGAACCATGAAGTTCAGAAGTTCAGAGGCAAGCTCTTATTTCTCAGCCTCCTGCCACCCCTCACTGCAGTATTGATTTTACAATTTGGTCCTCATACTGTCAGCACTAAAGGAAATATTCTTTTGAATATGTGTGCTGTGCTCTCACAAGCTCTTTGGTACCTAATGTGCCAGCACTAAGCAACATCTCGTAAATGGCTGGTGTTGTTATCAGCCCTGGAGCACTGCAGGAAAATTAGAACATTTAAAATGTTATCATTGGGCCAATTTCAGTTGGCCTTTGGGAGTAGACAAATTAAGAGCTAAGTAAGACACTATCCTATTCCCTCCTGCCCCGCCCCCAGACCAGTCACCTTCTGCGAAACCTGTCGCTGCAACTCGGTAGGTCATGAAATGTGTGCACTGAGCATAGAGCCACAGAATTCTTGCAGTATTTACCATGTCACAAGATGGATGCAGAAATCACTGTGCCTAATTCTTGTTGACAAAAACGTTCACATGTATTGGCAAACAGTCAGCAGTAGTTGAAAAGAACAAAATAGAAATTTGCAAAGCATAGCTAGCAGCCAATAACTGTTTGCCTCCTTTTACCTAAAAGCAACTTAACGATTCCAGAGAGCTTGCGCCAGATAACTCTCCTTTCCATTGCTATTTTACAATATGCTTATTCATTAGATATGCAGAAGCCTTCCAAATCTGTTGCAGTTATTTTTGTGTACCCAAATAGTGCAATTGCATGTTCAATATATTTGCATATATTTGATTTTTGCTATTCCTCATTATTTCATATTCAGAGCAACAAACAACTATTTTACTTTGTGTGGGATTGACATTCAACTGTTTCATTCATTTAAAATACTGAAACACCCAATTAGCTATTTCGCACAGGCAGCTGACTTTGGTTGGTATTCCTCTAACTTTTTCTCAGAGTAGAGTCATTAAAATTTATGAACATGACTAAGTCAGGTCCATTTAGGTCCATTAATTTCAAAGCCTCTACTCTAAGTGAAGATTAGCTGAATATCACCCTATGGTTACATTAATTTATTGTAGATCAAATAATGTTTTTATAAAGCAATTGCTTATTTAGATCACTAGTTATGTGCCTTTTAATTATTTTACTTTCCAGAATAGTACTACAGTGGTACCTCGCAAGACGAATGCCTCGCAAGACGAAAAACGCGCAAGACGAAAGAGTTTTCTGTTTTTTGAGTCATTCCGCAAGACGAATTTCCCTATGGGCTTGCTTCGCAAGACGAAACGTCTTGCGAGTTCTTGCGAGTTTGTTTCCTTTTTCTTAAAGCCGCTAAGCCGTTAGTAGCCGCTAAGCCGCTAATAGCCGTTCTTCGCAAGACGGAAAAACCACAACACGAAGAGACTCGCGGAATGGATTAATTTCGTCTTGCGAGGCACCACTGTAGTCTAATAGTATTTTTAGCCAAAATAGTGGCCTTCAGGTGTTACTGGACTACAGCATGGGAAATGGTCAAGGGTGTTGAGAGTTGTAGTTCAACAACATCTTGAGGTTGCTGTGCTCTATGCATGAAAGATGTACCTTCAGCCTTTATACCTCTGGTCTATGGTTATTCTGACGCTTACGAAACAAGTATAAATTTAGTGCATGTTTGCACAAAACATTTACATCAGGGTTATATAACTATCAGAATTTCAATAGGAAATGGAAATGTAGGTTGCTTTCTCACAAAAATGGCTTAATTTTCACAAAAGCCTACTCAGGAGGAAGTGATGCTGCTATTTGACAGGTCAGAGGTTGCTTACATTTCCAATTGAACAGCGATGGAACTATCTGATTTTTTTTTCCTGAACATGATCACAGATACTCTTTTTTTTTCTTATTCATTAACATGTCCTTAGGCTAAGCCACATTCCTTTGACAAGTCTTTCGTTTGGGGGTAATAATAATAATAATAATAATAATAATAATATACCACCAAAGATTACAAGGTGGTGTACAATGCCAGTGGTGGGCAGGGGACAGAGACAGAAGTGGACAGAGCAATTCTTATCTTAGTACACTAGACTATACTACAGTGATGCCAAGGCAAGAGGTTTCTCCTCCACCCAGTCTCCCAAACACTCTCCATCCAGGCAAGCAAAAGGCATTACCACAGTTCAGTGATACGTTGCAAGTAAGCAGAAGCACACAAGGAGGGAGAGGAGATGTGCTAGTGAGGGACGTGGACTGGAGAGGGTACATGCCCTGGGAAAGTCCTGGAAGGTCCTGCCGGGGCTCTGACCCTGAGTTTCTCTGCCCTCGGCTAAGTCCTAGGACCTAGGTCAAATTAGGTTCTCTGGTACTACTAAATGTACAAATTAGATGCTGTGAGGTCAAAGCGTCAAAGGCAATCACATTATGTTAATATAAATTGTTCAGGTTATAGAGGATTATATAAAATAAATGGCTTTAGGAAATACATCCTAAATAAATGACAGCAGAGGTGACACAGTTTAAAATGGGTGGCAAATGCTACAAAGGTTAAAGAATAGTCAAACATTGATTGACTTGGGGTTTTTTTCCAAGACAGTTGCACCTAAACTGTAGTAAAACCAGTGCTTTTTCCCCTATAAACAACAACAACAACGTGTCTTATTTTCCTACTCGTATTGAAATACTGCCCCCCAATGAGGCCAAAGTTAAATTCACAAAATGTTTAGGGGTATGCGTACCCCTGCTTCCCCCCAGAAAAAAGCATTGAGTAAAATGTTATTAACATTGTACTTTGAAGATTAATTATCATGGGATTGTGCCAGCAGACAGTTTGTTGCCATGTCCATCAATATTACAGTCTCTCCCTCCCCTCTCCTTTATAAGATTCAAAGTGCAGCTTCCTTGGTAAGACTTTACGCTCAGTCTAAACTGAAAGAAGTTAGCTTTTTTCCAACTAGAAGAAGGATCTAAGTATGAAATGGTACTCATTATTTGAAAATCTCTTTTCATATAGTTATTGTTAAGTTCTCATTATAACATCATTTTTATCACTTTTATCCGTTTATCTATATATTATTATTTCATGAGAATAATTATAGATATGGAATATTTGTTTTGTACATTAATTGCAATCTATTTCTGGAGTCAATTTCCAAATAGAACTAAAAGATAAAGCATGGTAAATATATTTAGGATTCATTATTTCCTGGTATTATGCCATTTAAACCCAAGGAAGGTCTCCTGGTCCTTGTACTGATGGGCGCACAGTGTATTTTCTTATTAGTTAAGGAAAAAGTTTCTGCCATCAACACTATGTTGCTGTTTTGAAAATCTTCACAATTGCTTGCCTTGTTTTAAAAAATTATATTTCTGCATAATGTTGCTGACAGCATGAAGCACTTCTGGCAAAATAATGGCATTCCTGTGAAACTCAAACACGTTTTCCCCCTTGCTTATCTTCCCTTCTTTAACTTGCCTGTAGGGGTCACTGTGAGACCGCACTGACTGCCCGTTCCTGGCTGAGCGATTGCATTCCTTGCGCAATATCCTTTGCTTTTAAGTAGCCTCCTTGTTCTACACACAGGCTGAACACTTTTGCCTTGACGCTGTGGACAGCCCTGAATGAGGCTATGTTCTCCTCTCTGCTTCCCTCAGATCATTGTTTAAAGCAAACAAGCAGGAAACAAAAAGTCTATCACTCCCTCCTTGAACCTTGACCAAGAGGCCACGGAAAACTTACAAGTTTGCCTACCGCCAGTTACCAAATAATACTCACCTTTCATAATATGCCTTAAAGGGCTCATGAATCATAAATACGAAGAACTTCGACATTCAGTATGGTTGGCAGCAGAAAACTGAAACATGTTAAGAATGCAACTAGCAGAAATGTTTTAAACCTTAAAATCACTGTTGGGGAGAGATAAATCATTTACAAGAGGCATTCTGAAATCTATATTAAAAAGTAAAGAAACTATACACAGAAGCTGCAGTACAAAGATTGTGCAGAGTTCCACTTTAAAAACCAATGCTGGACTTGCAGAAATAAAACTGGTAAAGTTTTTATAACTATTTTATTCCAGTGGTATGAAGAGTGCTAAATTTGTGTGCTGCATGTGGTCCCTTATGCAAAATTCTGGTGTGAAATTGAATGTTGGAAGGAGAACCATTCAAGGCATTTGGCAAGTCTGCTAAAGGATCTCAACAAAGTTTCGCACGTGCAGCTGCACTACACCTGGAACAATGAGATGAGAAATAAACTATTGGTTGATTTAGGCCACAGATGAAGCTGTCTTCAGGCATTCGTCTTGCATCTTAAATCAACATGCAAGAGAGGGAATGGGCTGAATCGCCCACCTCCCCCAAGTGCACTGCATGGTCCCCTCCTCCCATGTGTGCAGCTGCCCAGACAGAGTTCCGGGTCATGCGAGTGAAAATGTATGCACAAAGGACTTCCTCTCCTTGCAGACGTTCACAATGTGTACATAGATGCCAAGGGAAGGGCTACAACTCACATATGAATGGGGGCCATGGCTACTTGTCATGGCTCCCCCCCCCCCCCCCGTAAGTCAATTTTATGCATCAGGAGGGAACTAGTCTAGATGTCCTTTGAGGCATCTTCCAACTCTGTGCTTCTAATAACTATAATATAGCAGGATTGGCAACAATCATAACACTGTGGAATACAGTGGTACCTCGAGTTACAGACGCTTCAGATTACAGCTGCTTCAGGTTACAGAATCCGCTGACCCAGAAATAGTACCTCGGGTTAAGAACTTTGCTTCAGGATGAGAACAGAAATCGTGCTCCGGCGGTGCGGCGGCTGCAGGAGACCCCATTAGCTAAAGTGGTGCTTCAGGTTAAGAACAGTTTCAGGTTAAGAACGGACCTCCAGAACGAATTAATTTCTTGACCCGAGGTACCACTGTACTGCTAAATGCAGGACCCACCTCACCACTATCCCCCTACCTCAAATTAAGGTCATGAGTTTGGGTAATGTAATTATCACTATGCATTTAACTACATTTGCATATAGCAGCCTGTCCCAGGAGATCAGGGTGGTGTGTATCAGACTTTCCCCAAAGCAACCCTACAGCACAAGGTTGGATTGGGGTTGCAGCCCAGGTTGGCAGTGCCGTTTTTGCCATTTCCCCATAAAAATAGCTCAAAAACATCTTTTTTGAGATTTTGCTCAACAGCTTTTTTTGGGGGGAACAACTTTTCTGTCTGGATTTTCACTGTTTGAAATATGGCAACCCTAGGAAGGATGCAATGCAAGGAGGTGACTGGCCCAAGATTCTTGGCTGAACAGGATTTTCACCCCATCTCTTCATTGTCCAAACTAAAGATTCTGTTGACTGCTAAACATGCACTCATTGAGGAAATGTAATAAACAATTTTGAATGTAAATACTTCCCATTAATTGCTCCAATTGTTATTATTATTATTATTTTTAAAAACTTACCTCAGTAACTGCTACAGAAATATCTTGACTTTTTTCTGTATAATTCCGTTTACTTTCTGGTTTCTGATTCCTATGGAACCTGCCATGAGAGAAGGCTTACATAAATATAATTACATCAGTCAAGAATATATCATTAAAATACTAGAAAAGAAAAGAAAAAGCTCTCCACAAACTATCATTTCAGTTGAAGTTTAGTATCCTTTGCCTGATGTAATCTAAAAATAAATAAAACCATTTTATAATCCATTATCTGGCCTGACAAAGATTATGTTGTCATGGCAACAGTATCCCAGTATCCTTCTCAAAGTAATCAAAGAAAATGGTAGTTTACAGGAGCCCATATACTATAGACTAGCAATTAGAGAAATTAAAAAAAAGGATCATATCCAGGTTCTTATTGTGATTCACTTCTTACGCTGCCAAGGCTGGTTCACTATAGATTATGCAGCTTTAGTAGACCTCTATATGGCTGTGTTTATTATCCAGTCACGTGAATGGGCATGATAAAAAGGCATGGGTGGGATTATCTCATAGCCAGGTCAGGGGAAAATACAACTAAATGCCACTTGTGTTTATGTGGCCTGCACAAGCTGGTGATCTAAGTGGTTAGGATACCTTCCCAACGTTATTTTTCAGGTTGACATCATTAACCACC